ATTCTCCTCCATTCTTTAGCATCGTTACAATGCTGCAGCTGTCACCCACTGGCTCTGAGCCAGAAAACTGAGCAATCAAATGACTGCTGATCACTCAGTTCACTTAGATCTGAAAGCAGTGACTGTCAGTCACCAATATCTGCTCTGTCCCTCCAGAACTCACTGGAGCACAAGGCTTGGGAGATGACTGGTGCTGCTGACTCTGGTTCTAAATTGCACACTTAGAATCTGAACCTAAAGTGGCTCGGTGACATCACCCAACAGCAGGCTTTAGCAAAAGCAAGTGCACTCCTGTGACCCAGAAGAGGAGCAGGGCCAAAAAAATATCTAGCCATAGTTCTCTTTTAAAGCCCTACTCCAGGTACCATAAAAAAATAACCTTTCAGTGGGGCCTCCTCAGACTGCAAAGGTTAAATGCACATTCGTTAAGTCTTGAAGTAGAAGAATAGGCTTTAATGCTTACTTCAGTCTTTGCTCCAGTAGGCTTTCCCTATGCTGTGCAACCAGTCCTTTAAAGCCTCCTTTCTAGGTTCTCTTGCAGCACATCATCCATACAATACAGGACCAATAGACCTGAGCTGTATATTCGGGTGGCAAGAACCTGTTCACATCCGTACACATCAGAGAGAAGAGGTGAGTGCTAGAAGTCTGTTGGAGCAAGAAATAAGGAAAGTATTACAGTGTATTCCTTTACCTCTACAGTATATTTAATAGTCATTTCATCTGTGCAATGCGGTGGAGCCCCACGACAAAGGTATTTTTTTAATCTTGGAGTTCAGCTTTAAAGCTCAACCCCAGAATCAACTCACCTCCTCCAAGTATTTTAGCTCTTACCACAGCTACTACACCGGCTCTATTAATTTTTTATAACATTTGCCTCATTACTATAAAACAACTTTACAAATACCTGTAACATCACCATATACAGTTGTGACCAAAATTATTCAACCCCCAATGCTGTAAAGGGGTTTAGGGACTATAGTGTACATTTGGAATTGTATTCAGAATCAAATCCTACAAGGACGTTGTAACTACCCAAATGCAACTAAAATGACATCAATTGTTTATGTAATACAGTAGTAAATGGTTCTTATGTGGTTTCTTCATTGCCACAATTATTCAACCCCTTAAAGACTACCACTCTGAAGAACAGAGGTTCATACAGGTGCTTTCCATCAGGTATTGAAAAACACCTGTGGATGTCACCGAGCAGCAATCAAGCATAATAAGCACCAATTAGGCAGCTTTAAAATGACTGTGATACTCAGCTCCTTCTAGACATTTACTGGTGTGGTTACACAAACATGGTGAAGGCAAGAGAATGGTCCAGGAAGACAAGAGAAGAGGTGATTTCTCTTCACAGGAAGGGCAATGGCTATAAGAAGATTGCAAAGATGTTAAACATACCAAGAGACACCTTAGGAAGCATCATTCGCAAATTCAAGGCAAAGGGCACTGTTGAAACGCTACCTGGTCGTGGCAGAAAGAAGATGCTGACTTCGACTGCTGTGCGCTACCTGAAGCGTAGAGTGGAGAGAAGTCCCCGTGTGACTGCTGAGGAACTGAGAAAAGATTTGTCAGATGTGGGTACAGAAGTTTCAGCCCAGACAATAAGACGCACACTGCGTAATGAAGGCCTCCGTGCCAGAACTCCCAGGCGTACCCCCTTGCTGTCTCCAAAGAATAAGAAGAGTCGACTGCAGTATGCCAAAAGCCATGTGGACAAACCACAAAAGTTGTGGGATAGTGTTCTGTGGACTGATGAAACAAAATTAGAACTTTGGGCCCATGGATCAAACGCTATGTTTGGAGGAGGAAGAACAAGGCCTATGATGAAAAGAACACCTTGCCTACTGTGAAGCATGGTGGAGGGGTCAATCATGCTTTGGGGCTGTTTTGCTTCTGCAGGTACAGGGAAGCTTCAGCGTGTGCAAGGTACCATGAATTCTCTTCAGTACCAGGAGATATTGGATGGAAACGTGATGCAGTCCGTCACACACCTGAGGCTTGGGAGACGTTGGACCTTTCAACAGGACAATGATCCCAAGCATACCTCCAAGTCCACTAGAGCATGGTTGCAGAGGAAAGGCTGGAACATTTTGGAGTGGCCATCGCAGTCACCAGACTTAAATCCGATTGAGAACCTCTGGTGGGACTTAAAGAAAGCAGTTGCAGTGCGCAAGCCTAAGAATGTGACTGAACTGGAGGCCTTTGCCCATGAAGAATGGGCGAAGATACCCGTAGATCGCTGCAAGACACTTGTGTCAAGCTATGCTTCACGTTTTAAAAGCTGTTATAACTGTAAAAGGATGCTGTACTAAGTACTAAGATTGAATGTCACTTGGGGGTTGAATAAAACTGATAATGCTGTGAGCACAGAAAAGACATTTGTGGTTATTTCATTATAACTGTTATGTTATATTTGTCTGACCTACAAGTGCCTCTTTAATGTAAATGTAAGCAAGATGACTGAATGATCAAAAGCAATGTCAAAACTGGCCAAAACACTCAATTTCAGTGGGGGTTGAATAATTTTGGTCACAACTGTAGCTGCCTAGCTTCCTGGAAATCCACAGGGCCACATCCTTTGATGTGCAGTACACATCATTTCCAGAAATGATATGTCCCTTATTCCTTGGGGCTCAGTGTAGTTTACGGACACATCTGTGGGTGATGACTAGCAGCTCTTTGGATGCTGATGAACACTTCTGTGATTGGAAATGGTTGTTTGTTTAGTTACAAGCATTTTTTTGAGCAGTGATGGGAGGCTTTGTGGGTTGTGAAAGCACCTCTGTGGTTGGTATTCAGTGATCTAGGGGTAATGAATGGCTGTGGTCAGTGTGCTTTTACTGAGTGAGATTTTATGCTAATTTTCTCTTTTCACTTCCACTCAATATCAGCATTCCATAGGTAGGTACATCACTTCAGTAGTCTCTGAAACTAGAGAAGGGATTACAAATGACTAAACAGAAGGCAGAAAGTGGCTGTGTGATGCTTAGTCAGGGGCGGACTGACCATTTGGAAACTCTGGCACTGCCCGAGGGCCCGGGGTCAGTAGGGGGCCCCGTGAGATGCCCCTGGTACCTTTTCATAGGCTTTTTTGAGTTTGGGCAAGGACACAGGGGCCCCATGGCCCCCTATTGGCCGGGGGCCCCATGAGTTGTCAGTCCGCCCCGGTGCTTAGTGTCACATAGCCAGAAGGACTGCTTTGAGTGAAACCCCTATGGATGTCTGTGAGTGAAATGGAAACCAGAGCACAATTATTAAGGTAATTACAAATGCAACCATACTTTTATCAGTGAAGTTGGAGTGCTAATGTATTATCATGTATCTTAAAAGTTACAGCACAGAAAAATATCAGAGTCTATTCCATCCTTCTTTATAGAATGCAGAATGACATTTTCAAAAGTGACGACAATATTGCCTGATTAGCTATCAATTGCATTTAATAGAGTTAAACACTCATTTTAAAAAGTACATGCTTAATTGGTTATATTTGCTATAATTGCTATATAAAATTGTGAGTGGAGGTAAGTATTGAGAAATAAGCATGATAAGCAAGAAAATTATTGCAAGTTTGTTGAGATGCTTAAGCTTTGTTTTACTGAAACTTAAAAGGCTCATAGATTTGACATGTTTCATTTTTGTAATGCCCTAAAATACAATATACCATACCTGTTCAGAACTCTGCAGTTGTGCTAAGCAGGCAGGGGTGGACTGACCATTTGGAAACTCGGGCACTGCCCGAGGGCCCGGGGTCAGTAGGGGGCCCCATGAGATGCCCCTGGTACCTTTTTCATAGGCTTTTTTGAGTTTGGGCAAGGACACAGGGGCCCTATGATCCCCTATTGCCCGGGGCCCCATGAGTTGTCAGTCCGCCCCTGTAAGCAGGTATGCAATACTGAAACACAGTCAGGGAGATTTACTAAAACTGGTACCCTCAGAATCTGGTACAGCTGTGCATGGTAGCCAATCAGCTTCTAGCTTCAACATGTTCATTTAAGTTTTGGCAATAAAACCTGGAAGCTGATTGGTTTCTTTGCAGATCTGCACCAGATTTTGCATCTCCAGTTTTAGTAAATTATCCCCCCTGAAGATAAATAAATCCACTATATCTTCATAAATACAAGCTGCTTTTAGCATATTCAAAAACATACACACATATATTTCATTTTTATTTTTCTAGAATTGTTTTCACTCAAGATCTGCAGTTTTGTACACCTGTGTTTGCCCTACATTCCCCATAGACCATAACAAACTCTGAGCTTGCTGCATCTTGACTCATTTCAGCTCTGCAGTTGACGCTCCATGTTCCCAGCATATATTTGGCAGTTTCTTAGTAAATAGATTAGCGACTGTAAAATATTTTTTTGTCTTCAAAATATACTTGGAAACAGCTCTTTGGGAAAGACAAAACAGTGTCAGAAAAGTAGTGTAACAAAAAATGTGATACATACTGTACGCTGATGTTTTGATACCAGATAGGCATACAGTATCTACATACTGTATGAATACACGTACAAAATATTTGAATATTCTCTCAATCAGAAAAAGATTTTTCACATTGCATTCTGTTTTTTTCATCTATATAGAGCTGGAGTTTAGAATATTTTTAAGAGCCTGTTTCCACTTCTGTTTTTGTGACTTGGATTGCATGAAATGCTCACTTGGTATATACTCTTTTTATCTTTCCAGTATAGCTATTCTTTTTTATTTATTTATTTTTTGGTGCTAAATGCCATCTGGATCATAAATGCACCGCCATCTTCGGTGCTTTAATAAATGGATCATCTTTGCTCCTAGGTCTAATGGTCAACTTCTCTTCAATATGTCTGCAATGTACACACTTAGGGTTCTCTTATTTGAGCCCTCTTCCTTTAATTCATTCTGTCCAATATTTGTTTTATTAATCAAACTCTTTTTATCTTCCAGTATAGCTATTCTTTTTTATTTATTTATTTTTTGGCATGAATTATCCTACTATCCTATTCTATCCTAAGTCAGTGCTCATCAATGCCATCTGCCAGTGCCCATCAGTGCCACATCAATGCCACATATCAGTGCCCATCTGAGCTGCCTTTCAGTGTCACCTATCAGTGCCAGTCAGTGCCACCTATCAATGCCAGTCAGTGCCACCTATCAGTGTGCATCAGTGCCACCTATCAGTGTCTGTCAGTGCTGCCTGTCAGTGCCGCCTAACAGTGCCAGTCAGTGCCACCTAACAGTGCCAGTCAGTGCTGCCTGTCAGTGCTAGTCAGTGCCGCCTATCATTGCCATATATGATTGCTGCTTTTCAGTGCCCATCAGTGTTGCCTTTCAATGCCCATCAGTGCCACCTACCAGTGCCTCCTCATCAGTGTCCATCAGTGCCACCTAAAAGTGCAGCCTATCAGTGCCCATCACTGCAGCCTCATTAGCGCACATCAGTGAAGGAGAAAAATCACTTATTTACAAAATTTTATAACAAAACTAAGAAAAAACTTTTTTTTTCAAAATTTTCTGTTGTTTTTGGTTTGTTTAGCAAAATATAAAAAACCCAGAGGTGATTAAATACCACCAAAAGAAATCTCTGTCTGTCTCAAAAAGAATTATAAAAATCATATGGGTACAGTGTTGCATGACCGCACAATTGTCATTCAAAGTGTGACAGCACTGAAAGCTGAAAAATGGCCTGGACAGGAAGGGGGTATAAGTGCCCTGGAAGTAAGTGGTTAATGTGCTGCACTTTTCTAAGAAGGTTCTCTTTTTTAAGTACCCAGAGACAACACTAAAATGTTACAATACAATGAACTCACCCTTGGACTAATTTACCCTGATGCCTGTTCCTAACTGTGAAGTTTGACAAAACAAACATATAGACCAGAAAATCATAGGTAGTTAAAATACTATACAGCTCTTCATGACACACAAGTATACAGTATTCTACAGGAGCTCTAAATGGTATTTATTCTGTCAAGCAATCGTCCTTCTATTCTTTTATGTGAACACAGACCTGTAGTCCAAATACACCTTCATCACCTTCATCCATTTCTCTGTTCTTCACCTCAATGTTCTACTTCCTGTATATCATCTGAATACTTCCCCACATATCTGAAAGAATAAATGGAACATTTCTTTGGATTTCTATCTAACATGCTTCACCTGGAACAAATTTACAAGTCCCAATTTATATTTCTTACCATCTCCTTCCTATAGATGTTTCTTTTTCTACATTCTTCATTCAAACATTAAGTTATAACACCAACTCTCAAAAGACCGTCTTTCGCATCTTCAACCCTCTCCAACTACTGTCCTGTCTCTCTTCTCCCCTTGAATGGTATATGGTTTTTCAACTCTCTCCTACTCAATATGCAAGGACATGTCTCTATTTTGCACTTTATTCATTTTATATGATTCTTTACATCATCTATCACTTTGTGTACTTCAATATTCTATTGTTAAACCCTCTGTGGTTAATGTTATGCAGGTTCAAAATAATCCCTTATTTCCTGATTTCACTTTCTTATTATTTCACATTCTCAATTGAATAATTGCTGTCTTATCACATATTTCCTATCAGTTACTTGAAGAGAACCCATCCTGATTGGGTTTATTTAGAAGGAAGCTGAATATTAATTTGAGTTGCTTTCACTGTACTGGCTTGCCTATGAAGATTTTACATTTTCACTTTTACCTAACTTTACTTACTGATTGACACTTTATCAGCAATATTGCTGCCCTTTAGCTGTCTGGCTTTAAACACTGTGTTCTTAGAAGATGGCAGGCAATGTGTGAGGTCAGTTGGTTGACAGGCAATAAGCTTACAGGCTTGGGATGACTTCTGATCCTCGGATAACTCAAGAAACTACAGTTCCCCTACTTCTATCCTGGCAGTATGGATAAAACAGAAAAAAATATTTTTTTGCCTTAACAATCTGCTTCAATAACTGAGAAACAACTGCTTTTAATACTGACCAAATTCCCCAATCCACAAATCTTTGTTTTGGGGTACAATTTAATACTATCTGCTCTCGTATTTCAAGTGGAATCTGACCCAAAATGCCAAAGTAAAATGAATAGATAGAAGATAAAAAGATAGCAAAGCCAAATATTGTTGCAATATTCATCATTAGAGATGAGCGAATCGAACATGGCGAAGTGGAATTCGTTTCAAAGATCAGGAAAAATTCGATTCGCGCCGAATCCGAAAAATTAGCAAACTTCAGATGCACGAATCGAATTTTCCCCAAAAATGGCGGCGACATGTGTGGCGACGGAGCGGGGATCTCTGGGAAGGCGCGCAGACAAGGCGCGCTGACCCATAATGCATTCATTCATGACATGTGATCGCATTAGCCAATCAGCAGCCAGCCAGTCAGCACTGTGTAATGGTGGAGCTATAAATCGCGGCCATCTTAGAATTCTCCATTAGCCTCCGGTCATTCAAGAGAGACAGACCTGTCTGTATTAGGGACAGGGATAGGGCCACAGAGACTTTAGGGGCCACAGAATCGTTACTCAGGGACACAGAATCGTTACTCAGGGACACAGAATCGTTACTCAGGGACACAGAATCGTTACTCAGGGACACAGAATCGTTACTGAGGGACACAGAATCGTTACTCAGGGACACAGAATTGTTACTCGGGGACACAGAATTGTTACTCGGGGACACAGAATCGTTACTCGGGGACACAGAATCGTTACTCAGGGACACAGAATCGTTACTCGGGGACACAGAATTGTTACTCAGGGACACAGAATCGTTACTTTCTGCTTCACAACCACTATTGAATTAAAGAGTATGTCAGACAACACGCAGAGGAGTGGCAGAGGAGGCAATGTTTCAGGAGCGAGCAGACGTGGCAGCAGAGGAAGGGGTCGAGGCAGCACTAGTCGCAGCCAGAGGCCAGTGCTCCCGGTGTCATCCAGCGGTCGTGTCTCCACCGACAACCCTGCCGTCATCGATTGGTTGACTCGGTCGTCTTCCTCTTCCCAGGTCACCTCTGACACCTACAGCCAACGGTCGGTGGTTACGTCAGACACAACCGTTAGTTGGCATGGCCCGGGAGCAAGCCCACTGAAATCACGTGTCCTCTACCTGCCCCTGTCCTTTGGTGTTCCCTCACCAAGCGAAGTATCGCATGCTGTGGGCTCAGCCCCACTGTACAGTGAGGAAGAGCTAACAGAGGGCGGTCAGGAACGGGGGGAGACATCCGCCTCTTCAGCAGCCAGGCGAAGAAGTACTGGCGAGGAGAGTGGCTCGGTAGCCGGTCTAGAGACAGGTCTGTCTCCTGACCCACACGCAGCCGAGGGGGCTAGTAGTGACGCGGAGACCCTAATTGATGATGATGAGGCTGATCGCACTTGGCAGCCTCGTCGTCATCAGGCAATTGCTTCCGCATCATCAGGAGAAGAGGGTGCCAGCTTGCCAGCGAGCAAAGCAGTCGGTGGGTTGCCCAGGAGGCAGCAGGGTCGCAGCAGTGTCAGTGGAGGCAAATGGCCACGAAGTAGAGCACCAGCTCCACTGCAGCCTACCACCACGGCCAGTAGTGGTGCCGGTGTGCACGGAGGAAGTAGCAGTCAGCCAGTGAGGAGTAGCGGGGGCAAAGTTTCCTACTCGGCGGTGTGGCAATTTTTCGTCAAGCCGCCCGAGGAAGTAAACGTAGCCGTATGTCGACTATGTGGCCAGAAAGTCAAGCGTGGCCAGGGGGCCCATGTTGGGACTACAGCGTTGCGTCAGCATATGCAGCGTCACCATTCGGTGGCCTGGGAAAACCGTGATAAAGATACGGCGGTTCTGCCTGCCCCAGCCCCCGCTCCATCACCCGCTCCATTACTTGCTCCGTCACCCGACGTCAATCGCCCTCTATCAGCCAGTCAAGGCTCCAACACCTCTGCTGAGGGGAGTTGTCGCTTGTTGGCATCTTCCGCTCGTTCAGATGCTCCTTCTCCTGCTACTCCTCTTCACGGATTCCGTCAGCAGTCTTTCTTGGAATCCGTTTCCAAGAGACAACAGTTTGCGAGCACGCACCTGACGGTGCAAAAGCTGAACGTCCTCCTGTCCAAGTTGCTGGTGCTGCAGTCCCTCCCTTTCCAAGTGGTGGACTCAGCACCTTTCCGAGAAATGATGGCTTGTGCCGAGCCGCGGTGGAGAGTGCCAAGCCGGCATTTCTTCGCCCAAAAAGGCAGTGCCAGCCCTGCATTCACATGTAGAAGAGATGGTGGGCCAGTCTTTGAGCATGTCGGTCTCTGCCAAAGTGCACGGCAGCGCCGACGTGTGGAGCTGTAACTACGGTCAGGGACAGTACATGTCATTTACGGCCCACTGGGTGAACGTGGTGCCGGCACAGCCGCACCAGCAACTTGGACAGGTCACGCCGCTTTTGCCTCCATGGTGTCTACTCTGCGTCAAGGAGGTTGTTCCATGGCGCCATGCATTGCTCACTGTTCAATCTGGTTGTCCAAGCGTTCCAAAAATCCACCATCCCACTGCAATGAACATCCAAAAAAAATGATCCACGTAACACTATGAGCATGCATTTCAGGCCATATATCCTACACCGCAAAGACGCACACCCTCCATGAGCTGCACGTCAGGACAGAACGGACTTCCACTTAGGCATCTGCCTGGATCTGCGACGTTGCATACAAGGGTGGTACTATCAACCCAACATAATTGTTAATCGACCAGCCTTTACGCAACAGGCGAAGAGGGCCATCGACTTGAATTCCTGAAGTTACAAAGCGGCATAAAAGGTACTCCCCCTGTGTAAATTCAGGATGGTCAGCCAATTGGCAGCTCCCCAATGCGTGACACCTGCCGCTTGCTCATCGCCTTTGAGGAGGCCAACCGCTATTCGAGAGTCGGCAGGACAATGGGGATGAACGACCTCATTCCTCTGTTGCACGTCCTGGCCACAGATCTCAACGCCACAAAGACCCCCCGTGGGGGCAGGACAGGGAAAAAGAGAGGGGGTAGAGGAGGACATTGGTGCTCAGGGAAAATTTTTGATGAAAGGGTGGTTTTTTTCCCCTCAGCGGGGCAGGAGTGGGGAAGAGACATCTGGTAGAGGAGGAGGAGGGGAGAAAGAGGAAAACCCGACCCCCCGTGGCAGTAGGGGTGTGGGGATGGAGGGAGGGAGTCACTCGCATTCCTGGGACGAATGGCCCCTACATCTCGGTTCTGCCTCCACCGCCACCCTGCCCATGTGCCTCTGTCGTCTGCTCACCTGCTGACGGGTTCCGCTTTTTTTTCCGAGGCCGTGTTTGGCTTCCGAAAACTGCTGCATCCCCGCCCCCTCCCTTGCCTCTGGTCTGCTCACCTGCTGACGGCTTTTCCCCTTTTTAACC